CCTGATTTTTGAGCGCCCTGGTCCTTGGGCACGCTGCGGTGAGGGGTCCCGGATCTTCTAGGCTGGGGCCGAGGAGAACGTGCTCCGGTACCGGCCAACTGTAGGGGGCCTAGGCCTGGAGTTTAGGGATTAGGGTTTAGGGTTTAGGGTTTAGGGTTTAGGGTTTAGGGTTTAGGGTTTGCTGTGATAGGGCGTAGATGCTGTGAAGGTTACGTTTCGGAACAAGCTCGAAAGCTTCGTGAGGTGCCGAAGAGCAGCTTTGGCCCGATTGTGGAGGGCCATCTAACACTTTTCTCCCACCCCACGCCGCCCAAGGCGGCAAAGCCACCCAAACCTATTCCTTTTAGGGTTTAGGCCTAAACTCAGACAACAGTCCACTTTTCAAAACTTATTCAGTTTCATGATGTTGGTTGAAGGCCCCGGGGCCGGCGGGTAAAGAGGAGGGCCAGCCGGGACCCCCTAGGCTGGGGGCCCTGGGGGTACCCCCCTGAAAGGGTCAGGGGCGCCAGGATCGGTATTTACTTTATTACAAGGCACCAGTACTGATCCCGAGAAGAACGTGTTCCGGTACCGGGCCCATCCCCATGCTGTGGGAGGCGGGCGAGCGACTTGGGTCGGCTTGTGCCATCGAGGTCAAAGGGCTTAAGCGCCGCCCCCCAACGTAGGCGGCCTAGGCCCTGAGTTTAGGGTTTAGGGTTTGCGCAGAAGCTGGAGAGGGATATGAAATGGCCGGAGGAGCGAACAATCGGAACTTTGTTTCGGTTCCGGAGTACACGCAGCGATCGAGAATGGGGCCTTGCTTAGGCCACATCATTGCATATGTATCCCTCCCGCGGCCGTCGAGTGCGGCTCCCACCCTTAATAACCCGCTCCGCCTTTCAGTTTTTAGTTTCCTACACGGATATGTAGGAAACTCTTTTGTTCCGTGTCTTCTCCTTTTTCCTTTACACTACTCTTAAATACATGGGGGAGTTTAACCTTTTTGTCCTTAAGGTTTATCCAAAAGAGTTTCCTAAACTCAGGTTTAGGAAGCTATCTGCTTTTTGTTTCTGTAGTTCCGTTTTGGCAGAAGCTGTGCAGCAGCCGTCCACGGATACCATTGAGCAACGTCGCCCGTTTCCAGGGGTGCCAAATTTAATTGGTATAAGCCCCAATCGACGGCTGTTTTTTTTGAGGTACCCTAAACCCTAAACCCTAAACCCACTGTTCGGGATCGAGCCAGTCCCGTGGTCTCTCCGATTTACAGAATCTGATTACGGACCGAGTCATTTTCGAGCAGGCTTCCTGGGTGCCCTTCGCGGTCGCCTCGGCCGCAGCGAGAAACTGGGCCTTGACCTGTCAGCACTGCGGCGGCCACATCGAAGCGAGCACACCGCTCGTTGTGTGAGCTGGCGTCGTTGCAGTTGGGGTATCTGGGTTCGTTTTGTGTTATGGGTTTCGGATTTGGGCGGTCAGGCCTTCGGCTCGACAGGTGCCTTGCCTCGTCGGTTCATGTCCGGACGTCCTCGTCGGCGTCAGGGCAAACGGCAACTGGGGCCTCTGTGCAGAATCTGACATCGCGCTGGACAGTTCGCCAAGCGAGCCTGTCCGGAATCACGGTCCAAGAACTCTGTAGTTTAGCGCGTAAACTATAAACTTTTACAGTTTAGGCTCTATGGTTTTGGCCTCTAAAGTATAGACGAATATAGTTTAGCGCCTATAATTTAGGGCTTTATAGTTTAGGGTCTATAGTTTAGCGGCTAAACTAGAACCGTCTATAGTTTAGGAGCCACCTCTCTTTTTGTTTAATCCAAAAATCAGAGGCCTCCGAAAAACCATCGATTTCAGTACAGAATTTCATAACGAAACGACTCGTTTTTGGTTAGTCCTGCGGTACCCCCTAGGGCTTAGGGTTTAGGGTCTAGAGCTAGGCTTAGCTCTTAGGGTTTACAGTTTAGGGGTTTAGGGGTTCAGGGGTTCATGGGTTCAAAGGTTCAGGGGTTCAGGGGCTCAGGGGTTCAGAGGTTCAGGGGTTACGGCGTCTACCCGGCAACCTTCGAGTGGCTTGCATCCCTCCATTTCATCTTAGGGTAGCTACATGGTCCTTCATCATGCCCTTGATACCCTATAAACCCCATGGGCCCATACGTCAGCAGCCTTTAAAGAAGGTGGGGGGGCCACATCCCTACAAAACAAAAGCCCAAAGGCCCAGAATTCAGCCGCGCCTCCTCGTAGGCCTCTCTCTGATTGTCAGGGTTTAGGGTTTGGGGTTTAGGGTTTGGGGCAGTTTAGGGTTTAGGGTTAAGGGTGTAAGCGAGTCTGTGATTGTCAGAAAGCCCTTAAACTTAAGGCTTTCTTGGGTTATTTTTGAAGATCATGTTGCATGTTTATGGATACTAAAACCCGACCAGGAATAAAAATGGTCACCTTTAATACCTTCGCAACTATGCTTCAGTTTCGGCCGAGACGTGTCGAAAAGTTTCCGGCTTTCGAGCTTCGGGTGAACGGCCTATCCCCAAAGCCTCTGCTCAGTGTGGAAGATGTTGGAGTCCCCAAACCTCAACCCTCAAACCCTAAAACCCTAAACCCCCAAACCCCAAACCCCAAACCCTAAACCCAAAATTTAAGAGCCTCCGGCTCAAGCCGCCGACCCCGCTGGAGCATAGTTGAAAGGTTAACGCGTTCGTGAGGTCAAAGGATGCCTGGGGGGGGGGGTTTAGGGGGGGGTAGGGGGGGGGGAGGGGGGGGGTAGGGGGGGGGGGTAGGGGCGGGGAGTGGGGGGGGGCGGGAGGGGGGGTAGGGGGTGGGGGGGGGGGGGGGGGTTACCAAAGGGCCCCTATGTCTGTGCGAAACCGCCTATGGTGGTGAGATGCGTGTGGTGGGCCCCCATGGAAAAAGCTGCCCGGGGACCCCCCGTATACCCCCCCCCCCCGCGTTTTGGGGGTAAGGAGGGAAAGAGGGAGGTTTTCACCTCCTTTTCCCATCCAACACGCCGCCACCCTAAACCCTCAACCCTAAACCCTAAACCTAAACCCTAAACCACCCTAAACCCAAACCCTAAACCCTAAACCCTAAACCCTAAACCCTAAACCCTAACCCTAAACCCTGTGGCCGAGGCTCCTCCCCCATGTCACTCATGAACGATGTCTGGTACATCGACGTGGAGGTTCTCTGAAGGGGCTGAGAGCTTCGAGATTTGGTTTCGGCCCTTGTAAGGCCCTCACTATCCTAAACCTTAAACCCTAAACCCTAAACCCTATACCCTAAACCCTAAACCCTAAACCCTAAACCCTAGCCCTAAACCTCAAACCTAAACTCTTAGGATTCAGGGTTTTAGGACTTTTTCGGGTTCTCGGGTTCAGAATTCAAAGCTTTTGGGCTCTCCCAGGGGTTTTTAGGGTTTTAGGGTTTTTGTATTTTAGGGTTTTGGGGTTTCGGGTCGTAGGGTTGTTGGGGTTCAGGGCTTTAGGGTTTCAGGGTTCAGGGTGTGCGGGTGCTGGCTAACCCTAATCCCTAAACCCTAAACCCTGAACCCTAAACCCTAAACCCTGAACCCTACGGCATCTTTCCCTGCGAGCCGCCATGTGTTTGGGCGCCCTATCTCCTAAACCCTACCCGGCCAGGATGCCCAGCAGTACCCTTATTTCGGGGGTTTAGGGTTGCGGGTTTAGGGTTTAGGGTTCAGCAGCTCTGGGTCGAGCAATCTCCAGTAGAGCCGCTGTTTGGGCTCTCGAAAAAAACCCACCCACCCAGAGAATCCCAAAACATTAAGAAAATAAAAAGTTTGTATTTTTCATCAGCAAGGGGAGGAGGGGGGAGGGGGGGGGCAAGGGGGGGAGCGGAGAGGGGGTGGGGGGGGGGGAGGGAGGGGGAGGGGGGGGGGGAAAGGGGGAGGGGGGGGGAGGGGGTTGGGTGAGGGGGGGTGAGGGGGGGGGGAGGGGGGGGGGGGAGGGGGGGGGGAGGGGGGAGGGGGGGGAGGGGGGGGGAGGGGGGGAGGGGGGAGGGGGGGGGGGGAGGAGGGGGGGGCGGTGGGAAGAGACGCTCCCTTAGCCACGAAGAAATGACCCGTAGCCACGAAGAAATGACCCTTAGCCACGAAGAAATGACCCTTAGCCACAATGACCCTTAGCCACGAAGAAATGACCCTTAGCCACGAAGAAATGACCCTTAGCCACGAAGGAAATGGCCCTTAGCGACCAAGAAATTGCCCTTAGCGACGAAGAAATGGCCCTTAGCGAAGAAATTGCCCTTAGCCACGAAGAAATGACCCTTAGCCACGAAGAAATGACCCTTAGCCACGAGGGTGTATAGGGTTTTAATATATACAAGAAAGAGAGGTTTAGGGTTTAGGGTTTAGGGGTGAGGGTTGAGGGTTGAGGGTTTAGGGTTCCCTTCTAAACCCCTTTGAGCCAAAAAAAGGGCACCCTTTGCAATCCCATGAAGCTGCGCAAAGCCTTGGCAAAGGACACCCGGGTTTTGCTAGCATTTTGCAGATCGAGGTGCCTAGGATCCCGGTTTAGGGTTTAGGGTTTAGGGTTTAGGGCTTAGGGCTTAGGGCTTAGGGTTAGGGTTTAGGGTTTAGGGTTTAGGGTTTTGCCTACCACAGCTGCACTGGGCTACCAAAAACGCCTGTGCGGGATGGACGCAGACAGCCGGGATGATGGGCCGAAATCCTCCTGCGACTCTATCCCCCGTGGGAATTATTTTTTTTATTTTTGTTTATATAAAACTTGAAAGCCCAAGAGATTAAAAAATATAATTTTTATTAAGGTTCTAAGGGGAGTATAGGCGAAGGGGCCTGCGACTGCCCAGACGAGCCCGTGCCCCGCGAAGATGGCGTCGACGGTGGCGAGTCGGACCATGTAGCGGACACTTGGGGATACTTGGGGAATGATTTTTGATTCTTGGGTACGATACTTCCTCATGAAGCAGCTAAAATCACAGTTGTGTTTGGGTACCATAATTCCAAAGGCTCAGCGAGAATGTTAGTTCTTGCGAGGGTTCCAAGTTCATTTAAGGACATGGGTGAGTTGAACATGCTGGCGGTGGGTGCGTACCTCGCTCGCATGGCGCTGACCAGGCAAGAGATGCTCCGGGCCACGCAGGCGCGGCACGTGCTGTGGCGGTTTGGCAAGACACTTCGTGCTGGACCCTTTGCCAAGAGCCAGTACCAACTCAGCGAAGAGGTCACGCAGGTGAGGCAGTTCTGGTCGCACTCCTGGCATGGGAACGTGTGGGCAAAGATTTGCCTCCTCTTTGTGGTGAGCAATGGCATGCCCGCTCTACTCATCTCCTCGTTTTTGACCATGAGTGTGCCTGTTCTCTTCCTCCACTTCGCTACCCCGGAAGACGCTCCGGACGCTTGTTTTATGTGGGGGGCCCAACAATGCATCGGCTCCCTGATTTGCGGACTCACATTCCTGCTGTGGCAGCCAAGGAAGAAGATCTTCCTGGACAAAATCTGCATAGATCAGAGCAATCAGAGCCTCAAGATGGAAGGCTTGCTGAATGTTTGTGCCGTGGTGAAGCACTCGAAGTCCATGTTGGTGTGCTGGGATACCACCTACATCCAAAGGCTTTGGTGTGTGCTAGAGATGGCGGCCGCCTTGAAAGCCCATGGACGTGCAGCCAGACTGATCATCCGACCCGTAAGTTGGGCACCCGTTGTCATCGTGTCTTTCGTGGGCGTGTCCATCCTGATGGCGGTCTACACGCCGCTCCAAGATTGTTATTCGTTTGATGGCAGTGTAACGATAGAGTCCATGTTCACCATCTTGCTTGTGGTTTTCCTTCCGCTCTTCGCGGTGTCACTTCACCTTGCCAGTGGTGCTCTGCGTGCCCATTTCAGAGCAGTGGACACCATGCGGGAGCAGCTTCGCAACTTCTCCCTCGATTTTCCCATGTGTTACTGCTGTACACTGAACCATATCGACCCGAAAACAGGGGAGCCACTGCCTTGCGACCGGCTGGCCATTGGAGAGTGCATTCGCTCGTGGTTTGGCTCTGCCGCTGAGTTTGAGACTCTTGTCCAAGAGCAGGTTGCAGACGTCTTAAGCGAAAGGCTCACGAAGTACCCGTTTCCATACTCCTGGGTTGTTGCGTCGACAGCCCCGATGGTCTGGTCTCACCTCAGTACGGTCAAAACTTATGATAAGAAAGGTTCGAAGGTCCACCAGAGTCTGGGACATTTCTTAACCAGGCAGATGTATTAAGAAAGGTAGATTTGAGGCGAGAGTCTTGAAAACATTTCTTATTCAACCTGTCCAACCCTTTGCTTTCTCCGCCCTCCAGCCCTCCAGCCCTCCAGCCCTCCAGCCCTCCAGCCCTCCAGCCCTCCAGCCCTCCAGCCCTCCAGCCCTCCAACCCCCCAGCCCTCCAGCCCAGCCCTCCAGCCCTCCAGCCCAGCCCTCCAGCCCTCCCTCCAGCCCTCCAGCCCTCCAGCCCAGCCCTCCAGCCCTCCAGCCCTCCAGCCCTCCAACCCTCCAGCCCTCCAGCCCTCCAGCTGGAGGGCTGGAGGGAGGGCTGGAGGGCTGGGCTGGAGGGCTGGAGGGCTGGGCTGGAGGGCTGGAGGGCTGGAGGGCTGGAGGGCTGGAGGGCTGCTGGAGGGCTGGAGGGCTGGAGGGCTGGAAGAGGGCTTAATCCTGCAGGGCTTAATCCTGGAGGGCTGGAGGGCTGGAGGGCTGGAGGGCTGGAGGGCTGGAGGGCTGGAGGGCTGGAGGGCTGCTGGAGGGCTGGAGGGCTGGAGGGCTGGAGGGCTGGAGGGCTGGAGGGCTGGAGGGCTGGAGGGCTGGAGGGCTGGAGGGCTGGAGGGCTGGAGGGCTGGAGGGCTGGAGGGCTGGAGGGCTGGAGGGCTGGAGGGCTGGAGGGCTGGAGGGCTGGAGCCTTGCAAAAAGGCCATTCAATTTGTAATTACGTTTGGGTTGCGATTCAGACTCTGAATATATTTATTTTTCTCAATTCGAGAGTCTAATTTCTTGCTTCATAAAATTTCTTAACACAAAGTTCCACCGTAGGATCACGGTTATCGTGCTTTCTGGTAACTGGTTTCTCCTCATGCGCATGTACTACCTTCTGTGTATCTGGTTGGCAGCTATTCCGGTGGCGGTTCTGTGGTGGGCACGTGTGGTGCCAGTATTCAAACGAAAACAGCACCTTCGCTGGCAGGAATTCCTGGTTAACATGGCGTGTTCGCTGTGCCTGGCTGGCATCTGCGTCCTCTTTGGCGTAGTCGATGGTCTAACCATTCTCTACTTGCCCAATTGGGGCTGGATTGCGTTCGGGTCGTTGAACCTGGCTGTTTGTGGCCTCACTTATTTCGGTCCGGGTGCCCGCTGCTGCAAGCCTAGTTGTGACGGGCAGAATTCTCGACGAGTATAGCGTTCAGAGTAGTGAAGTTTTTAGGCCTCTGAGGCCTCGAGCTTTCGTCCACTTTTGGGGTTTAGGGTTGTAGGGTTTAAGGTTTTTTGGGGCTTTAGAGTTTGGGGGTTGTAGGGTTTCGGGGTTTGGGGGTTTGGGGTTTTGGCGTTTAGGGTGTAGGCTTGGGGCGCAAAGGCTTTCGAGGCTTTTGTAGGACATACCTGCTGCTGAGAGTGCAAAAAGTGCGCAACTGCATTCCGCAGCACGTGTTGGAGTTTCACGCCGATGTCATCGATGTGCAGAAAGAAGCGGCTGCTGTGCTGGGGGAGGGGGGGGGGGCTCTAATCCCTAAACCCTACATCCTAAACCCTAAGCATCCTCAACCCGAAGACCTTAAACCCTGGACCCGCGTAAAACCCAAGCCCATGAAGCCCTCAACCCCCAAGACTCTCAACGCTGAAGCACTCAAGCCCTGAAACCCTCAACCCCCTGAACCCTCCCCCTAAACCCTAAACCGTAAACCCTAAACCCTAAACCCTAAACCCTAAACCCTAAACCCTAAACCCTAAACCCTAAACCCTAAACCCTAAACCCCCTAAACCCTAAACCCTAAACCCTAAACCCTAAACCCTAAACCCTAAACCCTAAACCCTAAACCCTAAACCCTAGCCCTAAACCCTAAACCCTAAACTCCTGGCGCAGGCTAGCAGCCCATCCTGGGTGCAGGCCCTGGCATCGGACACGAGTCCCGGTGCGAGGCGGCTCTGGGTCCGAAAGCTGCGGAGAGGGTTTAGGGTTTAGGGTTTAGGGTTTAGGGTTTAGGGTTTAGGGTTTAGGGTTTAGGGTTTAGGGTTTAGGGTTTAGTGGACAGTGGGACAGAAAGCATAGTATGCACGTTTTCAAGTTGAAACCGTCCAAGGCCCTAAGCCCTAAGCCGGAACCCTAAAGCCCAAACCCTAAACCCCATAAACCCTCAACCCTAAACCCTAAACCCTAAACCCTAAACCCTAAACCCTAAACCGCGTCAGCCGCTTGGCTTTGAAGCTCCTGTGAGGTATCTGGCCTCGGGGGTGCTGACATCGGACAATGAGCCTCGACGGTTCTTGAACATGTGTGCTTTTTGGGGGGGGGGGGGGGGTTCTGTTTAGGGATTAGGGTTTAGGGTGTAGGGTGTAGGGGGTTTAGGGTTTAGGGTTTAGGGTTTAGGGTTTAGGGTTTAGGGTTTAGGGTTTAGGGTTTAGGGTTTAGGGTTTAGGGTTTGGGCTGCGGGCTTGGGGTTGAGGGTTGAGGGGCACCATCACACATGGAGGGTTCGGGGTACGAGGTTCCTAGCCTTGCACCCTAATCCGAAACCCTAAACCCTAAACCCTAAACCCTAAACCCTAAACCCTAAACCCTAAACCCTTAGGGTTCCTGCACTTGCCCTTGCCTTCCAAAGCGCAAGAAAATGCATCAGAAGCTGATCAAAGGGTCGGCGCCCTTCCCGTTGCTCAGTATGCGTACTGCCCCTAAACCCTAAACCCTAAACCCTAAACCCTAAACCCTAAACCCTAAACCCTAAACCCTAAACCCTAAACCCTAAACCCTAAACCCTAAACCCTAAGCACAACAGGCCAGGTGCCCTGGCCACGAGCTGCCCTTGTCAGCCAGGGTTCCTCAAGGAATGCCGGGCCTTAAGGTGCATAGAATTGAGCCCCACTTTACTTGGTTGCCCAGCTTTGCCCGGTTGCCCTTTGTTTTGTTGAGTCCAAAAAGAAAAACTAAAACAAACAAAGGTACCCTTATTGCAATCTGGTTGCGGGGCTACCAAGTTTAAGTAGTACCCATATGAAAGACAGTCCCTTCTTGTGCCTCTCGGTTGGCATACTTGCATATGTGTATCTATGTACATGTACATCTCTTCCTTACAGTTTAGGGTTTAAGGCTTAGGGCACCTGTTTTGGAGAAGCCTAAACGAAGGAGTTTAAAGCGCGGATATATGTTCTGCACAGGTGATCCTGAATGTCGGATTTAAGGGTTAGGGCTCAAAACTGTTTACTGCCATTGCTTAAGAACCCCCAAAAAACAACAAATGTTCTTCCTTACAAGGGTAATATAGGGATTTTGTAGTGTGTGTGTGTTTAAACCCTAAACTCTAAACCCTAAACCCTGAACCCTAAACCCTGAATGCCAATCCCTAAATCCTAAACCAGTTTATAGCTTGGGAGGTTACAGAGCAGCTAAGGAGATGTGGGTCTGGAATGGCCAGGATGCGGATGGAAGCCGGGAGACCCCGGTTTAGGGATAGGGTTTAGGGTTTAGGGTTTAGGGTTTGGGTTTGGGGTTTAGGGTTTAAGGTTTAAGGTTTAGGGTTTAGGGTTTGGGGTTTGGGGTTTAGGGTTTACCGTTTAGGGTTCAGGGTACCCTAAGCACCCTTGGGGGTCTTTAGGGCCCTAACTGAGCCCGAAACCCGACCTCTAGCTACCACCTTGTGTATGTAGAGGCCCTAAACCCTAAACCCCAACCCTCACGCCGAATCCTAAACTCTAATCCCTAAGCGTCCCTCCTACTAGTCGTCCCTTGTAAGGATTTGCTCCCGCAAGTAGCTGGGACTTGAGGCTTTGTAGTTCTTGGCCTCTTGAAGGTTTCACGGGTGGGTTTAGGGTTTAGGGTTTAGGGTTTAGGGTTTAGCGTTTCGGGTTTAGGGTTTCGGGTTTAGGGCTTCGGGCTTAGGGCTAAGGGTTTAGGGTTCAGGTATCACATCGCTCCCTGAGGGGTGTCAAGGACCTCCCAAGGAATAATAGGCTCCCAACTCTGGCCGCGAAGCCCCCAAAGTTCTAAACCCGAAGCCCCAAACTCTAAACCCTAAACCCCAAACCCTAAACCCAAAACCCTAAACCCTAAACCCTAAACTCCCCAAAGCCCCCCAACTCCTACCCATGACCTTGGGAAAAACATGCGCTCTCTTCCGCCCAGACCCGCTGAACAACTTGTGGCACCTGGAGGCCCATCCTCAACTCCTTTTGGGGGTTTAGGATTTAGGGTTTAGGGTTTAGGGTTTAGGGTTTAGGGTTTAGGGTTTAGGGTTTAGGGTTTAGGGCCCCATACCCTAAGCCGAAGATACCAGGGCTGCACGCATCATCGAGGGGGCAGAACAACCTTCAGGCCGAACCCTTGCCGGCCATAGGTTTAGGGTTTAAGGTTAAAGGTATAAGGTTCAAGGTTTGGGGTTAACGGTTTCGGGTTTAGGGTTTGGAGTTTAGGGTGATTCATTGTCGAGTTTCAAAGACCTACACATCCTTAACCGGAACTTTTAAAAACCTTGCAAAAAAAGAAACACCAAGCTCTAGGACCAAGAAACCGAAGTTCTATATGTACATATATATGTATATGTATATGGGGGGGGTTGCGAAAATAGGAGACCCCAAAATAGACCCCTAAATAGTAGGCTTCCTTTATACTAAGGACCTGTAGAAGGTAGCCCTATTTTCGGAAACCACCCCATGTGTATGTATATACATTTTTATTTTTATGTATTTATGTAGTTATTGAATTATGTATGTATTGATTTCTGCATTTGTTTCCTTATTTATTTATTTATGCTGAAACATCAAAGCCCAGTAAAACACTTCAACTCTACAAGCTCCGCTAAAACATCCACGAAGAACACATGGAACTCAACAACCTAAAGCCTCAACAAACGAAAGACACAAGACCCTAAACCCTAAACCCTAAACCCCTAAAACTCTTAAGCCCTAAACCCTAAACGCTAAACCCTACTAAACCCTACTAAACCCTACTAAACCCTACTAAACCCTAATAAACCCTAATAAACCCTAATAAACCCTAATAAACCCTAATAAACCCTAATAAACCCTAATAAACCCTAATAAACCCTAATAAACCCTAAACCCTAACAAACCCTAACAAACCCTAACAAACCCTAACAAACCCTAACAAACCCTAACAAACCCTAATAAGCCCTAAACCCTAAACCCTAAACCCTAAACCCTAAACCCTAAACCCTAAACCCTAAACCCTAAACCCTAAACCCTAAACCCTAAACCCAAGCCACAGGCTGCCAGCCCTGCATGGATCCCTGCCACTGGGTTGATGCTGAGCCCCAGCGCCCGCCGCGGGGCCGCGTTTCATGGGGAGGGGGTGTGGGGCTTAGGGCTCAGGGCTCAGGGCTTAGGGCTTCGGGGCTTCGGGCCTTTGGGGCTTTGGGGGCGGCAGGGGTTCACCCCTCTAAAAAGCAGCGAACGCTCGGGGGCCTCATGGGGTGGGTCACCTGCGCAACCCTATGGGTCAGGGTTTGGGTTGTGGCTTCGGACAGGAGGACCGGAGGAGGGGAGGAGGGGCCGAGGGTCCTAAACCCTAAACCCTAAACCCTAAACCCTAAACCCTAAACCCTGAACCCTGAACCCTGAACCCTGAACCCTAAACCAGGCAAGGAGGGGAGGAGGGGAGGATGGGCTTCTAAACTGATGAGTGCGGTCGGAGAGGTATCCCAGCACAGAGCCCCGAGGTCATGGGTAGACATGGGTTTAGGGTTTAGGGTTTAGGGTTCAGGGTTTAGGGGCCGAAACCGAAACACCCGGCCCGCCTCCAGATTTTTTTGAGTTTTTTGAGACGGCTTTCTAGGCACTGGTAGGACGAATGGGACAGTTGCTCAGGGTTGTGGGCTTTAAGAAACCTAGCTTCGTCAGCGTGGCAGTTTCGAGGGTACCCTTTGGGGTTTAGGGTTTAGGGTTTAGGGTTTCGGGTTTAGAGGTTTAGGGTGTAGGGTCTAGTTCTAGTGTTTAGGGTTTATGGGAGAGACCCCCTCGTGTTGAGGCACTACTAAGCCCTAAGCCCTAAGCCCTAAACCCTAAACCCTAAACCCTAAACCCAAAACCCTAAGCCAAACGAACAACCCTCTTGTTCAGGGACTTACGCTCGAGGCTCTGAACCCTCGGTGTCAACGTGCTCTCCCCCCCTCGGTCTAAGGTCGGAACCTCGGGCCCTTCGTGTGGTCTTCTAGGGATCCGAAGACTGGGCCCTTATCATATATAGCAAAAACCCTAGGCCCTAAACCCTAGACCCTAAACCCTACACCCTACACCCTAAACCCTAAACCCTAAACCCTAAACCCTAAACCCTAAACCCTAAACCCCTCGGCAGGTTTCTTGCACACGTGCGTCTTCACGTCGAGCGGAAAGGCCTTCATCTTCGGGGGCTACGATGGCACGGGTCCGGCACCCTGCTTGGCTCACGAGGGTTTAGGGTTTAGGGTTTAGGGTTTAGGGTTTAGGGTTTAGGGTTTAGGGTTTAGGGTTTAGGGTTTAGGGTTTAGGGTTTAGGGTTTAGGATCCATAGGACAATTCACGGTTTCCAGGGCTCTGAAGGGAGTTCTTTTGGCCCATATAAGGGATGTATATATGATGCCGGTGCGGGCTGCCCCCCCCCCTCCCAATGGGTTTAGGGTTTTAGGTTTTCAGGGTTTCAGGGTTTAGGGTTTAGCTGGTTTGAGGGCTTAGGGTTTTAGCGTTTAGAGTTTAGGGTTTAGGGTTTGGGGTTTAGGGTTTAGGCGGTTGGGGGGTTGGGGGGGGAGCTGGCGATCCGAGAACCGGACTCATATATAGTGGGCCCCGTTTTCAGATCCCATGCAAAGGGACCATGCAACTACCTTAAGAAGGGTTCGGGAGCTGGATCATGGGTTGCTCTGCACAGGCTTCCAGTGGGCCCGAGACGGTGGCTGCAGAGAGTCCAGGGGTGCCTTATTCCCCTAAATAACCCCCAAATAGAGCCCCTCTATACGTAAGTAGTCCCTAAATAACTCCCAAATAACCCCTAAGGTCCCTGAACCCTAAACCCTAAACCCTAAACCCTAAACCCTAAACACCTGTAAGGGTCCTTCCTTTAGTCCCTTGAGATTAGATTCCTTAGGGTCCAAGAACTCCTGGGCCCTTGGGTGTCCCCGGTGCCGGATGGATGCAGACCAGGATGACGCGGATGAGGTTTAGGGTTTGGGGTTTAGGGTTTAGGGTTTAGGGTTTAGGGTTTAGGATTTAGGGTTTAGGGTTTAGGGTTTAGGGTTATGATCTCATGCCCGGATGAGGGGCCGAAACCCTCCGAAGGGGCGCCCGACTGCTCAGAAAGTCCTGAGAACCCGGATGGGTCTGAGCTCTCTTGTGGCGTAGTGATACTTTGGAATAATTTTCAATATTTGGGCACTATAAGAATTGTTTTTTGGTGTACTAGAATTCCTAAGAAACAGCTAAAATCTTGATTTGTTTTGCTAGGGTTCCAAGTTCAGTTAAGGTGGGGCGTCCGACGGCCTTGAGGAGCCCGTGCCACGCGAAGATGGCGTCGACGGTGTCGAGTCGGACCCAGTACTGGACACTTGGGGGATTCTTGGGAATGGTTTGTTTTTTAAATTGTTGGGGTACTATAAAAACTATAAAGTCCTAAGAAGCAGCTAAAATGATAACTGTGTTTGGGTACTACTTAGGGGTACTTGGGATTTTGAATGATGCTTTCTGGGTACCACTTGGAAGCCCTTTTGACTTAGAAAGTAGGGTTGGCAAGGTGAGTTATGGGCATTACAAGAGGGCTTGCAGGGGATACTAAGTAGACTTTCTAAGCCACAAGAGCTTCCAAGTATAATTCCTAAGAAGCAGCTAACATTTTAATTGCTGCCGGGGTTCCAAAATCAGTTAAGGACATGGGTGAGTTTGACAGGCAGATGCTGGCGGTGGGTGTGCACCTCGCTCGCATGGCACTGACCAGGAAAGAGATGCTCCGGGCCACGCAGGCGCGGCACGTGCTGTGGCGGTTTGGCAAGACACTTCGTGCTGGACCCTTTGCCAAGAGCCAGTACCAACTCAGCGAAGAAGTCACACAGGTGAGGCAGTTCTGGTCGCACTCTTGGCATGGGAATGTGTGGGCAAAGATCTGCCTCCTCTTTGTGGTGAGCAATGGCATGCCTGCTATGTTCATCTCATTGCTTCTGGCCACGAGTCTTCCTTTTCTCCTCTTCCACCTCACTGTCCAAGCAGACGATCCGGACGTTTGTTTTATCTGGCCGACCCAACAACTCATTGGCTCCCTGATTTGCGGACTCACATTCCTGCTGTGGCAGCCGAGGAAGAAGATCTTCCTGGACAAAATCTGCATACATCAGAGCAACCAGAGCCTCAAGATGGAAGGCTTGCTGAATGTTTGTGCCGTGGTGAAGCACTCGAAGTCCATGTTGGTGTGCTGGGATACCACCTACATCCAAAGGCTTTGGTGTGTGCTAGAGATGGCGGCCGCCTTGAAAGCCCATGGACGTGCAGCCAGACTGATCATCCGACCCATAAGTTGGGCACCCGTTGTCATCGTGTCTTTCGTGGGCGTGTCCATCCTGATGGCGGTCTACACGACGTTGCAATCATGCCGAATGCTTGAGGAATCTTTTTCTGGTTTTTCGATAGAGTACATGCTCATCTTGTTGTTTGGCCTCTTTGTGCCTCTCTGCACGGTGTCGCTTCATCTGGCCAGTGGTGCTGTGCGTGCCCACTTCAGAGCAGTGGACACCATGCGGGAGCAGCTTCGCAACTTCTCCCTGGATTTTCCCATGTGTCACTGCTGTACACTGAATCATATCAACCCGAAAACTGGGGAGCCACTGCCTTGCGACCGGCTGGCCATTGGAGAGTGCATTCGCTCGTGGTTTGGCTCCGCCGCTGAGTTTGAGACTCTTGTCCAAGAGCAGGTTGCAGACGTTTTAAGTGAAAGGCTCACAAGGTACCTTGGTCATAGTTGGGTATCATTCTACATTTTAAGGGTACTTAAACCCAACAAGGAATAAAAAATTAGATTTTTAATACGATCCCAACCATGAACTAGGTACCCATTTCCATACTCCTGGCTTGTTGGGGCCACAACCCCGGTTGTGTGGTCACATATCGGCATTTCCATTTTCTCCGCGCTTTCTGGCGAAACTTGGACTCTCACGCACACGTTCTACATTCTGTGCTACTGGTTGGCAACTATCCCGATGATGGTTCTATGGTGGGTGCGTGTGGTGCAAGTATTCAAACGAAAAAGGCACCCTCGGTGGCAGGATTTCCTGGTCGACGTCGCGTGTTCTCTCTGCCTCGCTGGCATCTACATTCTCGTCAGCCTAGTCGATGGCCTCATTGCGATCTTCTTGCCGGATTGGTACGGGTATGTGTTCGGGTCGATGAACCTGGTTCTTCTTGGTTTCACTTACTTCGGTTCAGCAGCCTGCTCCTGCAAGCCTAAACAGCTGTGACCGGCAGAGTTCTCGTTCCAGGTTTCGGGCCCAAGGCTGAAGCCTACTACTTGGTAGCCCAGTGGAACCCTTTACCTTTTTTTTTTTTTTTGGGGGGGGGGGGGGGGGGGGGGGGTCTGGGTTCCCTTCATAAATGAGCCAACCAAAAAGGGTGCCCTTGTTATAAATAGGAGGGCCTATTTTTTTGGGTCTTTTTTTGGGGGGGGCCTTTTTTTTTTGGTCGATTTTCTTGGTTTTTCCTAAGAAAACCACCATTCCCTCCATATTTTTAAAGGATTTGATGGGTTTTCGTACGAAAAACAGTAATTTCTCTGTGGTTTCATAGGAAAGCGTTATTTCTGGTAGGT